ACCACTGTCGATTGGGGAACCTCTTATGTGAGACCCCCGGACATATCGCCAGATGAGACCTGGAAGAATGTCATGTGCGAAGCGGTGTAATGTCCGTTTCGGTGTCCGGTGGTAGACCGTTGGCTGCCACCGTGTTCGTTTGGGGTGCACTTTTGGTCGGCAGCAGCCGTGTGCCTTTTTGAAGTAGACTCTTCATAAGATTCCTTAGACACTTGGATAAGCCAGGCTGACCGGAAGGCTGCAGAAACCAGGTGGGGTAGCCAAACATTTGAACTCACAAAAGTAGCAAGATGGCACAGTCACATCCAAGTTTGGTCTGATGGGATTGTAGGGAAGGGTGGCGGCACAAAAGCTTGCAATGTTGTCATTGTCAGGGTGACAACTTCATTGGATCAATAGGTTTTCTCCCCGCAATCTTCAATGTTGAAATGGTTTTCGCTCTTCGCATTCGGCATGATGCCATGATGTTGCTTTTTCAGACAGTGTTGAAAGGGTCGGAGTGATAGACAAAGCAGCTTGGCCTCCACACGCCCATATCGCCCATTTATGGCCTCCGGACCGCATGTTCCTCGGGGTGGCTGAGATCCTATGCGGCAGTGCAGGAATACACTTATCTACTGCTGCAAAGACTCCTTCAGATCGCGAAGCATGAGTAAAAGGGCTTCAGTTTTGTTCCAAACCCTGATCCCAAACGATCTGCCCGTGCCGTGGCTTTCAAGGAATCCTTCCACGAAGCGTCCGGTCCTCAGATGGGGGAGGTGTGCGTCCCTCTTTGCGATGGTCAGTGGAGTCTGAGGTAGCCTTAATCCTTTTGACAAAAAAAACAAAAAAGGGATTGGACATAGTCTCATGTTCATTTGTTGTTTTGACCAAGAAATCAACGGGGTATGGCCTCCTGAGTACAGTAGTTCAGTCCCCTAGCTACCTCTCAAAGAACCGGAATTGGCGGTGAGGGAACCTAGTAAAGGGCAGCCACCCTCAACAAGCATCCAAAAACCACCTTGCAGCTGAGTCAAAAATATTCATGGGGTTCAAGAATTTTAGTGATGGAGTCATGGGTTCCCAAGGGGGTAAAATATAAATCAATATGCATTATATATCTTTGACCGGCTTGGGCTGCATGGGTATGCTAGGTAGTGTTGGGGCTCTCCACAGTGCATGGTATGTGCCAATGGGTTGATCATACTTTGATTCAAGCACTGTGGAGTTGACAGCAACTGGAAGACTTTGGTTTGTTATGCAGGCCTGTCTTCGAATTGCTTTTGCCTGTCACTCAGGAAAAGATTTTGGACACGGATCTCCCAGCAAGCCCTCGTGCTCACAGATTCTTGGCAAGCCTTGCAGGGGGTTCTCACTTGTGCAGAAAGGCAGATTCGTTTAAAGTTCTTGTAGGACACGCTGGTCCTCCTTTGCAGAAAATCTGGTGGACAGCAACTCTTGTCCATCAGTTCATCACTTGCTGCAAGGTGGACTGAACCTTGGAGATCTACGGAAGCTTATTGCACCCTGTGTTGTCGTCAAAACTACCCCCCCAAAAAAGGGCAGAAACAGAAACTCTAGGATTCGTGGAGCATCTCACCCTATCTGAGCATCTCATCTTCCGGCTCATGCAGTTCCAAACCAACAGTCGCAAGGCGCAGGATGTTTAGGGCTGTTACTTGAGCATCGAGATGGGAGTGTTTTGCACTTGGGGAGACTTCCTGGTGCGTTGGTAGCTGCTAGAGTTTACGATCCATTTGGTCATACCTTTGGTCATAGAGACATGGAGGATAGACCGTTTGAAGACAACTTGTTTTTTGGTCTATGCTAATGACCAGTTGTGTAACCGGCCCATCTCCCTCAGAAGAAGACTCCATGTGTCACTAAGATCGCTTTTCCATTTGTTCAGCTCTTTTGTGCTGATAAAACACCGCTGGCTGATCGAGGAAAGCTTTCACTTTCAGCTTTGTTTCGCGATGCTGATCTGCTCCTTGTGCGCCGTCATGGGCTTTGAGGCATCTTGGACGAGGGAGAACGACGTCATGTTGACCTTTGATGGTGACTGTAGATTCACTATATAATCTATATAGAAGAAATAGTATAGATCATTATGGATCGATCTGCAACGGGGGTTTAAACCTCAACCATTTTTTCAGTGATGAAGCTGCAGATCACGTCGCTTCGCGCAGGAGACATAGGGTCACACAAAGTCACCAAAGGCACCGATGTCATTGGATTTTATACGGTGCTCTCTACAAAGTGAAGTGATGCTAAGCGCGTTTGGAAGAGAGGAAGTCTCAGGCAATGAAAGCATGGCAGGTGTACTCAGTTTCAATCAAACTCCTTCAAACCGCACGTTGCAAAGGTTCAGTACCGTGGTTATGAGACCGGCTACAAGCTTGGCTACACAGGCTGGGGAGATTGGCAGAGCAGATGATATGTGAGACCATGGCTATATGAGACCGTGGTGCAAGTCTACTGCTCTTGGCTTGATGTTTTTGTTCTCGAGATGCTTTGATGCACTGCTTCACCCACCTGAACAAGCAACTTCCAAAACGACGCCGCGCCTCCAAGCTGCTGGCCGCGCACGCGGCAGGCTACACCAAGCTAGCCCATGAAGTGTGGCCCGCAGCTGACACGGCGTTCGAGGTGGTGGACGTGACTTGGGCCGTTTTGGAGGGTCATCACTGGCAGGTCAGGTGTCGTTTTGTGTTTTGTTTTTATTGGACCACTTAACTATCACTAGAACTTGTGTTTGGATGGAGAACCATTGTTTTGTGACATTGTTGTTTGAGAAATTCATTCAATAGGTGTTCAGGTTCTGATTTCCCGCCCAGCAAAGAATAACAACCAACTCCCTCATGGTGGGGCTGCTGGGTGTTTTTTTGCAACATGTCAGTAACAGCTGTTGGTGGAGTTTGAGTGTCAAGCCGAGCACGATGTATCATGATGTATCTGGTTTTACCAGCTACACCACTCGGTGAGTCTTGCGTTTCGCAACCACTGTCAGTTCTGATTGAACGTGTGCAGGAATGTGAAAGCATTTCAAAGCTGACCTCACTGCGATGTACATCTTTCTCCTGGCATGCTTTGCACATGTTGACTGTGATAGACATAAAAGAAAAAAGACAAAGGAAACTCTGGAGGCTTCACTCGGGGCTTCCCTCCTTCTCGGAACATCCGACCCGTCTACGGGTTCCGGTGGAGTGGATGTTTTTTCGTCTCAACACCTGTGGGCCATGAATCAAGTCTCTAAGGGACCTTTGCAAGACTAGCTTCATGAAGAAAAGACCAGTGGTTTTCCGGTTCCATATCAATCCTCCAGGGCGTATCCGCAAGATTCCACAAGTCCTACGCATATATCGTAGATCCAAAACCGTCGCCCCGCACAAAAGAATGGATGCGACGATGCTTTTTGCAGAAGACGATGGGTGTGCGACGGTGGAGTCAAACTGAACCCAAAAACTCTATCCAACCATTGATCTCCTCGTACAAATCACAAAGCTTGTGCTCTCCCTTGGTCAACGGATCTCTGAAATCCGCCCTGATTGCACTACATCGAAGCCTTAGGCAGCTTTAGGACTTAGGATGCCCTTGCAAGGGTCACTTGCGCCATACCTGTCCACACACCTTTCACACCGATTTTTCCGGGTGAGATCTTCTTCGGCGTGGTGTTTACCTTGGAGTTGATCCTCAAGTTCATCGCTGGTAGCCTCAGCTTCTTCAAGGCGGGGCCAGCCTGCTCGGCGCGCCGCCTTTCTCCGAACGCATGAGTCGAGTGAGTCGGCGAAACCGCGCAATCGACATGCGAATTAACGTGCTTGAGCAAAATCAGACGGTTTGAACATCATCCACAGGAAACGAACCAGGCAACATGCATATTTGGATATATTTGGAAGTTTTCAACTTCTTACAACACCAAGACCAAGACAAAAAGAGACTGTGTCAGCTCTGCGCTGTTCAATGTTCAATGTCGTTTACCATGTTTTACCCAGGTACCACAAGTCACTGTACTAGCCCATACTAGCCTCAACTGTTTGCTCATCACCAGTCAGTACCATCCGTACCACGCCACCATCCACTCATGCCGGACCGGGACCGGCAGTTTGTGATTATATGGATCCAAAATCAAAGCATATCAGGCCCATACAATCTGTGGAGAATCAGGCCCATATATCAGGCCCGTATCTGGTTAGATCATGTTAAACCCAAAATCATATGGATCCTGTTTGGGTTTCACATGATCTAACCAGCAGTTCTTGTTGCCGTTTCTCCACAAGGACATGTGGAATTGGCTTGACGGCCTCGTCCTGATTGTGTGGTACCTCGAGCGGAGCTTTGGTCAATCGAGAGACGTGGGAGGTCGTGACTGTGACGGCCTTGATAGACGTTCCAGTCTCTCTATAGTCCGACTCACTAACAGACAAGGGTAATGACCCCAACCTGGCATGATCATTTTCCAGCAACAGGGTGTGGTCCACGTGCATGTCAGCTCAGGTTGTATTGAATGTGTTGTTTGTAAATATGAGGCCCTGACTGGCCATCTACTCTCCCATGAAAGACACGGTGCATGGAAGCCCAAGTCCAGTCCAGCAGAACGCTCGGTGAAAGGGCTTAGGGTGGACTTCTCCTGTCGTGTATTGTGACACCTTGCTCCACCTGTGATCAATCACTATAGGATTGTGGTAGGTCAGGCATAGTGTCAGGCATTTGACTGGGCGAACGGCATAGATATGCCTACTTCTCACGTTTTCGGTTCCATACGCCATACGCCGGGACCGGAGGGAAGCACGTCTCACGAGGACGGAGGGAAGAGGTTCGCCCATTGGAGTGAAGAAGCCACACTGAGCCTTTGGTCTCAGGAGCCAGAACAGAAGGTTGCAATGTTTGGTCAAGGAGTGCCTATCAACCCAACTGAAAAAAGGCTTAACCAATCTCAACCATACATCACCTCTATTTTGAAGTGTACTTGGACATACTTGGCGCCAAGGATCACATCGACCGCCTTCCCTTTGGACCCCATGATGCTACGCTTGTTCCGCCTCAGTCGGTTGATGCGAATGGTCAGGTCCGACCGGTGTCCGGGGTCCGGGAGTCGAGTGTTGTCGATGTTGTTGCATGGTGTCGCCTTGGCGACCCCCACAAAAAGGAATCGGGTCCATCGGGTCCCTGGAAGACGGAATCGGACTCAAGATCAACGAGAAGATTTGGTTTTTCAGACGCCGGAGACGCCCAGAATGACGCCAAAGATGTGTCGTGTCTTTCGTTTCTGTCCGCAGGTTGGTGAAGATCTTTGAACAATGCGATGCCCGGGGCTCTGAGGGTCGGCCATACCGGTTCAGACCGGGTAGAGTGGCATACTTCCAGGAATAGGACCTATGTAATAACCAGGACCGAAGAAATACAAGGATTGTGCGAGGCACTCAGCCAGGCACTGGTGTTCACCTTCTTCTATCCTCTTCTCATTCGTTTTGAAGTCGACCTTCGCGACCTTCGCGGAGTGCTTCCTTGAAGTTGCTTTCGCCCAAGCGCATAGCCACTCAATTCACGACATAGCCACTGGGAGAACTATGAGTCAAAGTGAGACCCACATTTTGAAAGAGGCTCACAATCTGGGCAGTTTCACAGCTCTTTTAGAGGTGAATACTCATTGTGCTTCTGAGCTCTGTTGGATCATGTCGAATCATGTCAATGTCACATCCTGCAACTGTAGGATGCTCACACATTATATGTTATAAACGCAACAAATAAAGAATTTAAAGCAATGATATATGTATATGTATATATATATATACTCGCTCCATAGAAAGAAAAGCCGTGCCCAGCCCCAGACTGTCAAGCACCTCCCAATCCCTCACTGCACCTGTTAGAAGAGCGGGACATCATACGTTTGGTTTTGCTTCGGCCTCCCTCCCCCACCCTTCCGTCCGGTCCCAAGTCCGGTCCTTCCACAGCGGTCGCCCATCCCAGTCCGTCCAGCGCCCAACCAACCGTCCCCTCCAAGGCCTTGTATTTGATGCTGACCTCGATTCGCGCCTCCTTCGCAGCGCTCGCGTGGTCCAGTGCCTTGCTCCTTCTGAGCCTCGGAGAGATCTAGCGCAGCCTTCCGTCCGGTGACCGATGTGTCAGGGAGTTTCCCCCAAACAATCAATGTCAATCGATATGTGTTTGAGCACTCGAATCACGCTGTGTACCGTGGTTGCGTATTCATGTCTTTGTTTGGGTTTACGCTAGCATATTGCCACAACGATCCCTTCAAAACATGTTCTGACATGCAGAACGTGTTTGCCGTATGATTGTCGTGTAGGGTTTTCCTGAATTCAATTGTTGCAAAGAGTTGCTTGCTTGGGTCTTCGCTCGGGGCTTCTGCTTGATCGTCCTTGCACATCATTTGGAGGCATATGATACACACGGCGGGGCAGGCAACCAGCCCAGGATCCCATGTGTGTATTCTTGAAGAAGTTTAAGTCAGTCAGCAGAAGTGAGGTGTGAGAATTGGACAATGTCAGAAAGCAACTGCGACATCTTCTCTACCGCAGAGCTTCATAATTCCCTACAGGTCAGTTTGACCTCTTTTTTACTAGAGTTGATCATACACAACCACATACAACCACTACTCAATGCCGTAAAGGACCAGGTTTCATTGGGTCAGACTGGTCCTGCAGGGGTTCTTTTGCAGTTTGCCCCATGCCCAGCCGCCAGGATTCAGATGATGCTGGCCCTCGCCATTGTCACCCTGGTGGAGCCCTATTTTTCGGATCCCAATGCCACAGGCGGTTTTGGTGTCGTTGGCGATCCAAGACATAACAAGGTTGCTTAGTGGCTTAGTGATTGATTGTTGATCAATAAAGCCTTCAACTTCAATATGTAGATGTTTGATGATGTTTGACCATCAATTAGGTCAACCTGTGTGTTGTTCTATCAAGAATAGTCAACCTTGGACCACCCAACTAGGAAGATAGTAGTAGTTAAGACACGTGTTTGTTCTCTCACCTCTCATGTAAAAGGTGTTACCTCTTGTTCCGTGCCTGAGGGTGAGGACTCTGTACAGCCGATCCCTCTCCTTCAGGTGACAAGTACGCGGTCTACTCCTACTATGGCACCTTTACCCGTGCCATGCTCACCTTGTTTGACACTTGGATCGCATGGGGAATGCTGAGGTTGAAGCAACAACACTGGACGACGACGTGTGTGTAGGAAAGAGACAAATGCTGGAGCGTGGAGCGGCGGCGTGTCCCCAAGATCACAAGCTCAGTTCTGTTTCAAGGCTGTTGCATTTGTTGTTTTTTGGAAGTGTTTGGCGCTTGTGGAGCAGCAAGAAGGCCACCGAAAGCAACACATCAAGGAAGACCTCGCAATTCCTTCGAAGTTGATCCTGCGAGCGGGCAACGTGATCAAAGGGGGCGTTGATGTCTAAAAGGGACAGGGTTCTGGTTTGTACATCGATCAGAGGAGTAGATTCAAGCAGTATGAGAAGGACAATAAGGGGAAGCTTCCTGGAAAGTATGATTCAACGATATACATGTTATTTAGTGTTGGGAAATCCTTCAATCTCAATCTCTAAGACCCAGCATACTGACAGAGGTTCAGCAGCTGGAATTTGTGGCTGAATGCTTTTTGGATGTTTTTGAGAGCCTTGTCACCAGAAAAGTCTGAGTTTGGTCGGCTCAAAATGACTCCAAACTCTAAATCGCTTCTGCTTCATGTCCCAGAGTCCCGAAGCAAAGCAAAGGAACCACCGTTTTCACCGACAGACTGAGGAGATTACCCTGGGGAACTTTGTGCCCGTCACGCGGCTGATGATGCAAGACGTCTCCGAGCTGTACGCCTTGTGGCCGCAGGGATCACTGGGGTGATACCGGTGGAGGCTAAGAAGTCTTGCACGAGTGGCTGGAAGTTCCGGAGCACCCGAACTAGATCAATCATGAAGCCACCCTGACTTGCTCGGGCATTTTTGGTAGTTATTTTGCTTTTCTTGGCCATTGCATGCCATTGCTACAACTCTTTTCGGCTCAGATCAGATTGTTTTTTTTTTCACTAATTGCATGGTACTCAATGGGCAACGAAAAGAATGGCTTGGAGGGCGCCGACGAACCGTACTGCCAAACGATGGACCAAACGAGGAAAGCGGTGTCTCATCGACCAGTTTTGGGTCGGTACGTGTCACCGATTGAGCGATCCACATGGCTCCAAACGGATGGCATACGTACATGGCATACGTATCATGTCTTTCTTCCAGTCATTTCTCATGCAATGAAACCTGAAAACCTGGAGAATCTTTCTGTTCGACCTGGATCTTTGACCTGCGCTGTTCAGCGTGCTGTTCGATCGCATCCCAGGTGATGTTCGCCTTGGTTCACAAGTTGGTCATCGGATTTGCCGTTGTGATGGCCACGTGGCACCAGATCGGGGCCAAAGGCAGAGACCTTCTTCCAGGATGGCAATCTCCGCTCAAGAGACCGCTCAAGTGAGATCAGTCCCCTGCTAAGAACTCATTTTGAACACATAGATGGGTTTAACTTACTCTGTGCATCTTGGAAACCTGTGAATTACACTCTTTCAAGAGGGGCAGGCGTGACCCAAGGCCAGCCCTCCTATGTTTGAGACTGTGAGATTGTATCATACCGAATCCTACCTTCCCGTCCACTAATCGAGCTTCCTATAGCTTTGGGCTTGACATCGGTTCAGAATAGGACAAATCAATCACTCGAAGCCAAACGGTTCTTGTTAGAGTTCAATCCTCTTGGAGGAGTTGAAGATCACTTTTTGTAGCTCATTCCCACGAAAGGAATGCTTTTTTCGATGTTTTGGGCAGCGGAGACGCACGCGGTTGCACCACGTTTGCTGGGAGAATCATGGAAGGTCATACCCTCTTGGGTATTCGCCGCACCAGAAAATGAACCTCTACAACATCAATCGCTTTCGACCGTGTGTTTTGATCAGAAACTCTCTCAGGGACAATCTCCACCAGCTGCTAAGGTGATCACGGGCGTTTTTGTCCAAGAAACCTTTTCTGTGGCGCAGACAGACAACACTATCATGATCAACCAGATGCTCGGATGGCTGCAGCGTTGCCGCAGAACCCCAACAGCTGCGGACATGGCTTTAACATGGCAAGTGTTTCGTGCACCAAAAAGGAACACTCTATAAGTCAGCGCTAGTTAGTGCTTGGTACTTGTCCAGTGGCCGCCCTTACAGCTACGAACACCAAGGACACATGACCCTTTGGATGTGTTTGTGGATTCAACAGCTATGCAACTGAATGAATGTTGATTTGGCCGGATTGTTTCGGAAGAAACGGGTGTGTCTCAAAATCATCCAATTTTGCAGAAACACGCACCAGCAGGCGATGATGCTCGGTGTTTGGTTTTTGGGAGGTGCGCACAAGTTGGCCAACGCAAGGAGTGCCAACCAGTCATGTATTTTGTTCCAAATCACTAGGAGGACTTTGGCAGTTGAGGGACTCGTCCTTTTCAACATAGATTGGGCATTAGAGTTTAGGGACTTCTCTATACTCAAAATGGGCCAGAATAGGCTAGACGGCTAGACATGAACAACCGAAACTCTCCAGGAATATCCTTCTGTCCCCCTTTCCGACCACCGGCGTTTGACCATGCGAAACTCGCACGCACGGACGGCCAAGACGGGTCGGAGGGTGCATCCCACGGTGGTCCGGAAGCACTCGAGGAAAGAGAGAGCACTCGAGCTGCACATCGCCAAGATGCGTCTCGGCCGGAACACGTCGACCTATTGCGGTTCTCTGGCTGGGAGCTGGCTGGGTTGGGTGTTGGTTGTTGTGTTTTTTTTGCAGGGTTGGTTGGTTACCCAGTTGGTTGGGTGAAGGGTTGGTGCTACTGTTGTGGAAGTTATGTGTTTTAATGTGTTTGATTTGTTTTAACTGGATTAATTTTGAGATTTCCGACTTCCAGTGGGTGAACTTTGGCACTTTGTGTGGCACTTTGTTCCGGAACAGAGACTCACAAGGTGACCTCGTACCCAGCTCATCAGCAGAACGCTCATGTTGTGAAACCAACATGTTTGCAGGAAGGCTATTAGGAGATAGGAGCAGCAGCAAGTGGATCAATGCACCAGGTAACTCTTGCGTCTTCTCCTTCTTGCAACATGGACCCCCAAACCACTCAGTTGTAGAGGAACCTTGTCTTCCACCACGGGTCTTCCATCCCGAACGGGATCGTTTGCGGGATCGTTTATTATCTGGGCTTCACCGGAGCATCTGGCTTTCGCTTGCTTGGAGGCCATCGCTAGTAGCAAGGACGCTACCATTGGCTCCTGGCATCGCTACTAGTAACAAGAAGCTACTAGGGGCTCCTGGCCTCACTACTAGGAGCAAGGACGCTACTAGGGGCTCCTGGCCTTACTAGTAGTAACAAGAAGCTATTAGGGGCTCCTGGCCTTACTACTAGGAGCAAGGACGCTACTAGGGGCTCCTGGCCTTACTACTAGTAACAAGAAGCTACTAGGCGCTCCTGGCCCTACTACTAGGAGCAAGGACGCTACTAGGGGCTCCTGGCCTCACTACTAGGAGCAAGGACGCTACTAGGCGTTCCTGGCCTTACTAGTAGTAACAAGAAGCTATTAGGGGCTCCTGGCCTTACTATTAGTAACAAGAAGCTATTAGGGGCTCCTGCCTTACTACTAGGAGCAAGGACGCTACTAGGGGCTCCTGGCCTTACTACTAGGAGCAAGGACGCTACTAGGGACTCCTGGCCTTACTACTAGGAGCAAGGACGCTACTAGGGGCTCCTGGCCTTACTACTAGGAGCAAGGACGCTACTAGGGGCTCCTGGCCTTACTACTAGGAGCAAGGACGCTACTGAGGGCCCTTGTTTTTGGATTCGCCATTCGCCTCAGGACCGCCCTCTTCAAAGCGGCTGACTATGACTCCAGCGGCCGTTTGGACCGAGGAGAGTGGTTGCAGGCCGGGTAGAGGGGCAAATTAGAAGACAACATCCACCTTCTGGGTGATTCTGTCACCAAAAAAGCTAGGGTCTTGAGTCAAGACGAATGGCTCATTCGGCAACGAACGCACATGAACTAGCCGTGTACGATTTCCGGCCATGCAGGATCACGAGGATATGTCGAACAATCAAGCGCACGACCAAAAGGATCCAAAAGGGGGATTGAACCTGTCACAAGCTAAGCGTCTTCATCGATCGACAATCAACAGTAGTGGAATAGGTGGTCTCCTATTCTGAACGACCAAATACAGTCAAGCCGGGCTGTGACTTTGATTGGGATTCTGATTCAACAGACACAAGAAAAAACATTGGGGAGACAAAAGAAACACATGTTGCTTAAAGGATTTTCCTTTTCGCCTAATACTGTTGTTTGTTGTATGATGTATGTTTGTTTTGTTGTTTCAACTTTTTACTTCATGCAGCAGACTCACTCGGCAGACTCTGATCCGCACGGTCCTGCGCCGAGTCATCGATTGCGCCGATTGCGCCGCCAGGTGTGCGACGATTACTCAGTGCAGCTGTGGTTGGCAGCCATGGGCTTGGACGTGAGCAATGCTGTGACTTGGTGAGTCCAGTTGGATGTGAATCGTGGCACCTGCCTCACCAAACCATGGTAAGTTGACACCCGTCAACAGGGTGCTCGGGTTGGATGTGGGTCCAGTCACCGTGAAAAACTCCGTGAACAAGTCAGCGTGTGGTCGACAACTCAGAAGCGAGTAGGGTTGCTGATTTTCAGCGAATCCTTGGGACGAAGATTTGCCATCCCCATGGATGGGTGGTTGCAAGATGCTTGTCGGTCCAAAAGCAACACCCATGCGTCCTTGCATGTGCAAACGCGGCAAACGCTTGTCGAGTTCCTTGCATGACTGAGAATCTACTGTGGAACCTTCTGTAGATCCATTTCCTGGGAAAGTCATCGGAGAAAAGCATGTCAACCAAATTGATGGGCTGTTTGTCACGTTCGATCATGGGGTCAAATTTGTTGATACATACTGAGACATACTGCTCATATACTTCGGATTACTCCTTTGCAAGAACCCCACCATTGCTACGACCATCGAGTTCCCTGGTCGTTTTGAAGTTCCATCGCCAAGGCATTGGTTCACGAGCTGATTTGCGCAGCAAGCAACCAGCAGGACAGAACAAATGGAAGGCCCTATCTTGCACATTGTTCACCAGATGTTGAATTAACACTGTACTAACTATATACTGTAGCAGTTACTAGAGTGCATATGAGGCTGAGAGGTGGTGAAGGTCTGGTACTTCCAAGAAAGGAGAGAGGGTCAGTTGAAATCAGCTTTTCTGACAAGCAGCGTGGCCCCAGTACTAGTTGCCAGGTAGCTGGATGGTTATGTTGGTGGCTATCTCAGCTGTCATTACCTACTTGTATATCTTGTATCAGGCGGTACTTGTTGTGATGTTTGCATTGTATTTTTTTGATCTCATGAGTCTCTCAGGATGCGCTTCGGCCGAGTTGCTTTGCTTGGGGTGACGGATGATGTACTCTGTATCATTCTTCAAAGTTGCTTTACCCTCTCCCCCAGAGCGTGTACCGCCTGCCACACAGCTTCCCGCCCGGCCCGGCCTTAAACATTCAAAAAACCCTAATCTGCCTGGCCCCGGCCCGCCGCCTCTTTCAACAAAAACCGCCGGAAAAATATATTTATATAAACGCTGCACCAATGCAGCCCGTGGCTTCACCCACCCCTCCAACCCCCCCCTCCGTTCGCGCACGTGCATGACGAGCCCGTCGTGGGACAGGTGTCGTGAGTCCTCCATCCCTGGCAGGACCTCAATGCCAAGGACTTGGTCTCGGGCATCGCCAGGCTCAAAGGCTCCGCGCGGAACATCGACATGGCGCTCTTCCGCAAGGCGCGCGCGCGCGCGGTCGCGCGCGGAGCCAAGCAGGGCGGGACAGAAGGTCGGTCGGACGGAGAGAGGAGCGGCGTGGTGAGACGGTGTCGGCAGTGTGGGTCGGAAGAGGATGGAAGATAGGCGTTGGACTCTTTGTTGGTCGATGGTGTTTGGGGATACTTTTCAATGGTGCTTGCGGCTTGGCTAGTGTCTCAACAGCAGCAATGGATTCAATGCTATGGAAAAGGGACGTTCTTCTGAGATGCCTTTTTCTTCTTGCAGGGCGGGAGAGTTGCGTTGTGGTGAGGGTAAGGGAGGTACGTGTTGAAAGCTCTTTGGCGAAGTACTGCGTTGTTTTTCAGGCGTAGAGACGAAAGCAAGGACACGATAATATCATATTCACAGATTGTGGGAACGAAGACACTAGAGGCCGTTGTACGAGCATGCACAAAGGTAGGAAGTGTCCAGCCTTATCCTACTTGTAAGTAGTTTGTCAGTCATGGAAATTGAATAAAGTCTGACAGGGCAACATGAGGTTCAGGTTGGACAACGGTTGGACGTTGAGTGCCCATGTTCTCAGACACCATGACTACTACAATGTCACTTGCTGGAAACAAAGAACTGCCAGCCGGGCCAGTGGATGAATTGATCAGCTTTTTCCGCCTCAAATCCAACGGGAGTTGGCACTGTCAACTGTTTGTCCTGTAGTTGGCACTGGTAGAAGCTGTCAGGAATTCCTTCACACCACGAAGGTGGTGCAAGACATGCAGGAGAAGGTGGGAAGATGTCATCGATCAGCACCGGGCGCGGCTCAGCACCCGCAAAATCATCATGCCAAATGGTGAGTCGTGATCCCTTTTAGGGCAGTAGTCAGGAAAGATCTATCCTGCCATCGATCAGTTGCCGCCATGTTCCATCAACGTTCCAGGGAGGATGTTTCTACTTCATAAATAATACGTGCAGCGTGCTTTGAGGCCAGCGAACTAGCACCAACTTGCTTGGGTGACATGGCAGCGACATACATGTTTCTTCACTTGAAAAACCTTTTCACTGTCCCAAACATTAGTTTGTTCATTCTGAACAGAGGAAAAATGCCTTGCGCTGCAGGTGCAAATGTTGAGCTCAGAATTGCAGCGTGACAGGCGCACGCCGAAAAAGGCGTCTGTTCGCTTGGTGGCAGCGAAGTCGTTCACCTCGCTGGGCAGAACTGTTTTTCCGATGGTTTTTGCAAGTGGTGGGGCGTCTTCTTGACAGGTCGGTACTGTTTAAGTGGATCTCATGAGAATTTGACTTCGAAGGTTCAGATATTACTCTTGCTGGATTTGTGTACATCACCCAGTTTGATGCTTCAAGCAAGGTGATATGTCGATGTTTTTGGTTGCACAAGTGCTTCTCAGGTTAGCTCACAAAGTGTTGCATTCTAAGTCTGAGGTGTTTCAGGCCGGGAGTTTTGATCGACGGCCTTTATGGTCCAAAGAAAACATAGTTGTCGAATCATTCTCAAAGGTAGTCATGTGTTATCTTCTAGAGTCGCTAGAGGATGACGATGTTTCCGCACCCTATGCCCTATTCGCTGCTCGTTGTTTTTGTTGGATCGAGAAGCTATGGTGAAAGGATGCCAACAATTATCTTTCCACAACTCTCCTGACATGACACATGGCAATTGGACAGCTGAGACCCGTGACCACACACAGACGTTGCATTTGCTGTGAAAGTGCTCAAAGCAACGATAGAACCCGGGATGTCGAACGCGTCGATTGCGGTTTCTGATGGTGGACGACGGACCTTTGCCCCCTCATGTATGCGCTGATGCTGTGCCAGCAGTGATGGAACTCTTTCTTGTTCGGGTTTGGCCAAGGCTAGCTAATGTCAAAGTCTGTGACTAGCGTAGCAGGAGAGATACTCAGCAATACTATAGTATAGAATGTGGATCGATAAATCAGAACAACACATCCTGAACCAGTTGCAGCCTGACAAACCAGGGGATTGTCAGAGACAACGTGATGTTTGCTTTGTTTGACACGTTGGACACTTAGAGGTCCAAAGCTTCTTTGCTACAAGTTTTGTACACTAAGCATTTTTGCTGATGAACTGTGCTCAACATGTGACAGGTGTTTCGATTGTACACTCAGAGAATGTCAAAAAGAACCTCCCGGTCAACCACTTTTACCCACTTCCACCGCTGAGGAGCGAGCTGCTCCTGGCAACGCTGCTGGGGACGGTGCCATTGGCCCAGGCGCTGGGCGCTCGCGCTGGTCGCGCGAGCGCTCGGAGTTTGATGAATCAACCGGAATCACGAGTCGACTAGATCAGCTGGGACCTTCAGCTTGTGACCTATGAGGTCTCAGGCAGTGACCTCATGTAGGCGGGGACCAAGTGACCATCCTTGTAGAGATCTCAAGGATGGTCATGAACTGAAGGTCCTGCAGTAACGGATGAAAAATCCGGTGTTGCAAGTGCTCAGTTGTGCTTGAGTCTGCTCCAGTTTCTAGTGGTTCTACATGGATTTTCTTGGAGAGGTAAATTCGATCCCAGTATTTGCTGAGCAGCGTCCATAGTCATACCACAATAAGGATTTGTTTGACCGTTCTTATTTGGTGCCAGCCGGTCCGTTACTCAAGCTGGTGACAATTGTCAAAAGAAGACCAGGTGCCCGTTCAACACTTTGTTGGGTTCTTATATTCATTAAGATGTCCAACCAAAAATAATGCTGACCATATCTAAGTAGTTTTCGTTTTATATGAGGGTCGTTTCGTTTTATTTGAGGGTGTGTCATGGGAAAGGGTATCAAGGGTGATGCGGGAAGAACCACTCACATCGCAGCTGTGAGAGACTCAATGGCCCTCAGACGAGGGTTTCTTAGAGCTTTGCAGCAGGGTGATGGCAATGTCACAGCTGATGCTGGACCGTCAACGCCATCAGCATCAGCCACTGTAGATGGACCAGACGCAAGTCGGAGATCTTACTTTGCATCCCTGAGGGAGCAAACTGTGGTGGCAGAAGAAAAGCCACAGCATGCAACTGTGAACTTTAGTTTCGCTACCCTCAGAGAGTTTCAGGCAAACACCAGAGGTTCAAGGCCTTTCAAGAAGCCAGTTCCTGTACCAGAGAAGAGACCAAACTACAACAACAACAACAAGAGAAAGTTCTATGCGAACCCAACAGATCGGATTAGGCTTCTAGGTTGGAACAAAGCAGTCTCTTTTCATTTTGTGAATTGTATATTTTCTGCTTGAAGCCCTAGGCCCTAGGTCACCGGACTGAAACTCAGGCAGAGTGACAATGGCCAATGCATGTACAGAGTGGCGAACTTGTATGCAAGGGACCGCTGCCAGTGTCATCGTCTGGATTGCTTTCAGCGCATCAAGGCTCAGGAGAATGAGTTTAAGGCGTTCCTGTCTTCTTTTTGGTCACTTGAAAAGCCTGCCCAAGATGCTTATGCCATGACCTCAATGGCAATGACAAGTTGACATAACTTGATCACACATTCTAATTCGCTTTGGACATTCCTTTACATGGCTGGCATAGTTTCCCCAAATTGTCAACTGAGATCTATTCTGTGATTCGCAGTGTCGCTGCAGCACATCGATCTTGGAGCCTCTTGGGAGAGGCCATGTCAGTCAAGTGCATTGCCTGCTTGCTTGGGATTCGAAGTGATCGTATAAAGAGATCTGGCTCGGGCATGCTTGATCGTCGATATGCTTGTCATGGGGCTGAACCTGGTCTGTATTTTTGATGAACTCTTTGAAACCTACTGAATGGCATGAGAATGACTTAGGTTGGAATTCATAGTGGAACCTTCTTGCGCAATAAGGAGTTGAAGCGCCATCCACTCAAGTACATGGCCATTGACCGATTCTTCCTCCAAGTATACATCCAACAAGCAGGGATGTTGCCAACAAAGTTCCTTACCTGGTTTTTGTTGCTTGAGGCAATGCATGGCTGGTTCATGGGACCAGCGTGCTTGTCCCAGGTTTGGTCGAGCTGCACGAGTTCAAGCTTCCAGGAAGGCCAAGACCCCACAAAAACTGGAGGTCACTTTTGGGAAATCCACTCACACAGATGATTTTGGAAGCTAGCTTGCAATGGCTCATGTTCTGTGAATTTGGGCTAGCAGCTTAAAGCTGTCATTCCTAGTGTCATTCCTGAGGAGACTCTGATTTGGAGGTTCATGAGGTGGATGAGCTAGACCTCGTCCCTCATGAGTCGATTGAGGACGACTTGGAGCTGAAGATGCATATTTTAGGGAGCCAAGAGGTGTGGACGCAGAGCCTTAGCTTCTTCTTTGTTCTTGGCTTCTTCTTACTATCGTTGGCCACCTTTTGTGAATTTGTTTTGGTCAGGATCGTGGATTCGAATTGGGTTTCTGACCCAAGCAAGCTTCCGATCAGATACATGCCGCCTGGTAACCTCCGAATGCTATTCACTGAGTATTCAGGCAACGTGTCGCCGCTTTGTCTTTTTAGTTGGAAGTCAACATCATGAGTTCATGTGGAACAAGATGTAGCCACCAGTTGAACATGCGCTGAGGTTTGGTCATTTTACCAGAAGATATAAATCCAAGTGGCAAAACCTGCTGCGCTTTAGCCATCCCACAAACTTTCCAGCATGCGATGATTGCATAGCATTCAAAGATTCATTTGAAGATGCCACTGTTTCTAGTCACTTATGGTTCTGAGCTGTTGCTTTGATTTCCCATGCGACATGGTTTCTCAACAACTTGCAACCCCTATTCATCAGCCTCAGGATCCATTGGACAAGTTTGAGATTTCCAGACAATACCAAGCGCACATGCAAGCAGTGGCCAGCGATAGGAAGCTGGAATCTTTTTTTCAGGACCCAAAGTTGAGTTGTTTGGTTTTGTTTGGATGATGTCTCCAAACTAAATGGAAGGAGTCCAACCCGTTGTTGGATGGCACTGCCGCCCTTTTCGTCACAACTGACTCTTTGCTGCATATCAAAGGGAAATGGTTCATTGAGGGTTTGCTATTGTTGTCTTCAACTCAGTTGTTTTCACTGCCGCTGACTTGTTTCATTGGATCATGCATTAAGGACGGAATGGACCAGTCAAAGTGGAGCATGCCGAGATGTCGGAACAACCTCTTGACAAAGAGCCTTGCAAAACATGAACGAGTTCGCACGAAGATCCAAGGTGTATGGCTGCACCAAGTGGCATTGTTTCTGTATTGCCTGGACACCAGACTATCAGCTGACAGCTCAATGGTGGTTGAATGCGTTTCCAGAGCCCTGCAACGCATGTCTGAAATTTGCCAAGCTCGTGGAGTAAACACTCCACGAAAATTGATACTGTGGGTATCTTGTTCTGAAACATGGCCAATTGTCTCATTGTCAAATCTTGATCACACCCAAGGTTGATTGGAAGGCGCTGGTCATTTTTGAACAAAGCTGAGGCAGACAACTGCCCAAGGGAGAACAAAAACAACACCTGCTTCAAGTGGCTGTGCTGGCTTCTTTTACAGAAAGGCTTTGAAGTCACTGGCATACTGTATGGCCGGGTGGGCCATACCCACGGAGCCCTCGGTCCTTTGGCTGACCAGCTGTTGCTGAGTATTACACTAAGAGATCATTTCCTTTTACACTCCACTAAGATCAGATCTACGGAGTTCTATCTCGGTCGATGCGGTTTATAGACATCTTAGCGGACGAGGAAGATATGGTGGAGAATCTTGAACGCATAAGATTTCAATGTGTTCAGTGAATGTCCAACAGCTCAAGACTCTGTCATCTTGTCAGGAAGGTGCGGTACATCACTTCCAAGTTGGACTTGCGCAAGTGGCTGAACACAGCTGAGATTGTAGTAGAACATGTGGGCACTGTGCGTGATTGGAAGGGATGGCAGCTTGTTTGTATAGTTTGTACCAAGGGACATCAGAACAGGTGTCAGTGTGAGGTGTAATGACTGAATAGTTTTGAACCATCCAGCACTCTTATATCATGTTTAGCCCCCAAGGTTCGAACAGGCACCGGTGACCATGAAAGGAGGAATGCGAGATGACTCAAGTGGTGCTCATGCCTTCCTCTTTTTCCGAAGAAGAGGCCTCCAACATCTGGTGTCAGTTTTTGAAAGTTAGTGTTTGGATGTGGTTGGGTGATTGCACCTGCCAGACATTCCAGCCAATATGGAGATTGTTGCAGATGGACCTGGGCGTCACACATGGCCTGTTTCACCAAATGATGTGTGCTGCTGTGTCAAGAGATATGCATCTGACACAAGCCTTTCTCAGGCCACAAGACTTTCCTTTGCATGTTTCTGTTTCATTGGAAGTTTTTTTTGAAGGTTTCAAGTCAGCAATACCTGTGAGGTGCCATTGGTGGTATTCCCTGAGTGCTTTGTAGGAATACTTGGTGCTGTTTTACAAGTTCCACGACCTCTCAAAGAGTTCGACCAAGAGCGAACTAAGAAGCTTTTGTCACTGGCACAACTGCTGCTGGAGACCCAGCCGGTTCAATCCACTGCACGATCTGTCCAGTATTTGATGAGGATTTGCCAAAGGAATCCCGAACTTGAGCCGGTGCCACCCTTGGCATGGTTATGCTCACACAGCCCATCAGGGTTTGATGCTTTAGTGACATTGGACCCTACACATTTGGCGCCAATCACTCGTTTGATACCGCAGATGCGGTTTTCAGCTCACTTGCGTCGCAGATGAAAGGTGAAATCAAGTAGGCTCCTCCCAGAAGCTTGCACCTCTTCAAACAATCTGAGTGAACCATGTTCTGTTTTTAACTATCAACAGTTTGAACCGCAGCAGTTTGAAATCAGTAGTGTTTGGCTCAACTTGGCGACACAATGAAACGTCAAAACGCCAATATTTGGGATGATTCACAACGAGAGGATTCACCTACTGAGACCTCAGGGTCACAAATGAGGCGGGGTGAGAAGTGCAGTCATCTACTATCTACTGTGACCTCAGGCTTTCAACATCTTGAGGAAACAACAAATGTTTGGCAAAAATTCTGCCAGGACTGATCACTATGACTATGGACGGCTGCCACTGAAGAGACCCAAGGACCGATTTGCAAGTGGTGTCCCAGAAGTGGAACAAGACCGGCTCAGGCTCCTCCAGCTCCTTCCCGCAGGCCACGGCGGTCAGGCTTCGAGGCATGGTACGGCGCAGCCTTCACTTTGAACACATAGTGCCTATAAAGTCGTTGTGTTTATACTTGGTTGACACTGGCAGGATTGGGAAATACATGATCTTCGCAAAACCTCTT